TGGAAAAGGCAGTTTCAGGTAGCTTAGTCACAAATGGATAGGACTTTACAGGTCAGAATCCACATGTTGAATTCGGCCTGGAAACAGAACAAGGGTATTCTGTTCCCATGTGTTCCCAGTAACTGGCCCTGATCAACAGTCTATCTGCAAGTAATGAATTTATTCAATTTGGTAATTGTATTTATCATTCATTCATTCATTCATTCATTCATTCATTCATTTAACAGTAACAACAGTTTGACAATGGAAGCAATTGCTTGGTGGGGGTGGAAGTTGCTTTCTTGTTGCTATCTAGCTCTGAATTTCTTGCAACAAACTACTCTGATAGTTTTCAGGGCCCTACCACTCAAGGAATCTATGAAACTGTATCGCACTATGCTGGCATCTCACTCAGCCTCTCATGAAGTCCAAGATTGCATACAAACTTAAGTAAACATTACATAAACATGGATGCTTACAAAATGGCATTAGAGGAATTTGTTGCTCATTACCTGTAATGCCATGGGCACTAGCTAATAGATGCTCATGACATTGCATTCCGTATTGCAAAAGACATGAAATGGCAGGATAGGAACTTAATATTGTCTATATGAAATAGGCTCTGATCTTGAGGCTGAGAAATGACAAAGGGAGTTAGGTGCTCCTTTCTGACTGCTTTCTCTCAGGACTACTGAGGAGCCACAAAAGAGCTAATAACTTTCTGGAGATTCAGGAAACTGCTGAAAGGGGAAGAGCAATGACATGTGCTCAACGTTTAATAGTGGGAGGATGACATTGCCAAATGAGAGCTATATTGGGTCCTTCTGCCTGCTCCAGCCCACTTCAGAATGCTTCATTCTTTAAAAAACTTTGCTTGGTGCTGCTGCCTTGCACAAATAGGTCCTCATTTCTTGTGCAATTATTTTTCTCTGGTCCTTGAAATAGTGCACAGATTAGTCGGTATACAATCTCACCTTGTCAATTTCCTTGTCTTTCACCTGTTTTACTTCCCTGCTCCCTTTGACAACAGTAATATACAAGGAAAGTGAGACTGCACATAGCAGACAGCAGAATCTGTGCTCTTTTGTGGATGATTGGAAGGAAATACTAGGAAAAAAAGAAACACAGCTCCATTTGCACATTCCCAAAGCACCTAAAAAGAAAACGAAAACCTGGTTAAGGAGTGACAGACCTTCCAAAGCACTCTTTGGGCTTTGGTAGAGGGACATCCAGGGTGAGAGAGGCTGGCAAGAACATGTAGATCTGCAGAGGCTTTTTTTGCTCTGTAGTTGTTTGGCAGAATTCACCGTTTGGCTGTCATAACAAGCCGCCCCGACAACAAACTAACCTCAACAACCGTCCCATAAGCTGTGGACCCCCCGAGTGACTTGTTTACAAAAAAGAGCCCACGCTGAATAATCTGCACCAGGTTTGCTGCTGACACTAAAATGGCTCACAACCCATTATGACTTGCCACAACATGTGAACCCAATCTTTGTGTGTGAATCATGCATATAGCTGAATATGCAATACTAAATAGGCCATTTTTCCAGCCCTACCTGGAAGGTCAGGGACCTTCCACATACCAGGGAGATGCCCTTAGCCATGGCCTCTCCCAGTCATAGTGATGAAAGACTATCAAGCTTCCACACAGGAACCCTGATTGATTCTCCTGTGCGTTGAGACACATGTTAGTGGGTGTGCAGAGACCTTTTCCTCATTGGGCAGGCGTCTGTTTCTGCTGTAGGTAGGCATGCAGCAGTGGCATGGGGGGGAGGAGGGGGGATGTGACCCTGTAAGCCCCACCTCACCTATTCTTTCAGTGCAAGCGATGATTCATGTGATCTAGCACATGAGGAAGCATTGTAGCTGTCTTCCTCAGCTGTTTCTCATCTCTCTTAATGATCTCAGACACATCACTCAAGACTCAGTTTAAAGGGATTCAGGGCTTCCCATTCTCTGTTCACTGTCTTTTCTAGCTCATTTCCTCAAAAAAGGAATCAGCCTGCAATTTCCCAAACAAAGTGAGAGGAAAGGAGTCTTTCTCTCCCATACAGTGTCACTGGAACTCTATAAGCTGTAAAGCAACGAGGGAACACACACATCCCATCTTGGGACACCTGATAGACCACAGGAGAAAACCCACCACTATTAGGGCATCCAGCACACTCTTTCTTAGGATTTGCTTGAAACCCTCAGCCTACGGAGGAACTGTGAGTGCACTTCCTCCAAAGAAACAGACACCAAAATTATTGCTGTACTAAGTTAAGCTAAATTATCCTAGATTTACATAAAAGACTGCAAAATATATTTCTCTTATATAGAAGCTGTGCTTATTCTGATTCTTATTCATGTAAGTTTCTTACATCTAGCAACACTCCTGTGAGCTTTAGGGCTTCCCAGTGATTTGCTCTTCGGGATTCTGAAGCATACTATATAATCTTCCCAATGTGTTTCAGTTCCTATTTCTGGGATCAGGAGTAAGAACTGGTCTAAAGTAAGTATGGTCTAAATCCTCCCTCCCCCCCCCTTTGTTTTAATTACATAGGTTCAGCCTAAATATATTTTAGAACTGATTACATTTAAAAACCTATGCCTTTTTTTCAGTAGCCAAGCCACAATCAAAATTCCCAGTACACTTCAAGAGTATAGTATAAGTCCCCTGTTAAAGATCTCTGTGTGAGAAACATGATCTGGATCTATTTTTCAATTGGTGAAAAAAGATCTACATCTGTAATATCTTGTGTATGTGCATAAAGCATTTTTGATAAACCCTGATACACAAAGAGTACATAGCTATATGCTCAAATCTGCTTTTTATACAAACTGCTTAATAGTTATGTAACCCCTTGGCAAAAATCTCATTATTCAAACAGCTTATCTTTCAGCTACCTACACACCACTGCTGAACCTTTCAGGCTTTTTGATAATACCAATGATAATTCATCCATGTGAAAAGCGCTACTGGCTAATACACATTTCCCTGGCCCCTCTATAGCATCATTTTCATTCCATCTTTAATGTTGCAAAAGCATATGCCTTAAAACATTTCAATAACATTTTGCAAGGCGATGACTGATAACACTAAACCAAATGAGTCATTTAATTTCTACCATGCTGATAGTTATTCATATGAGAGGATTGCATAAAAAAGATCTGCAATTCTACATGCACTAACTTTGAAATAAGTCCAATTAAAATCAGTTGAACTTTCTTGAAAAAAGGTTGCAAAGCAGCTCATGAACAAACTTGTAGAACCCCACATCACAAAGTAGTGTTTTACCTCCAAAGATTAAAGAGGTGCTGTTGAATAGATTTTTAAGTCAGTACCTGATCAGAACTGATACTAATATTTTATAATAGCATGAAAGGACTCATCTAAAGTTTTTATTTGTATTTATTTTGACACCACAGATGAATTACTTGAAATCAACTGCAGAGGTCTCCTGTGCTTTAACGAGCCACTAACAAGCAAGTTTCTGTAGTTTGAGCATTTTTATCCTTGTGAACCACTCTTGGATCTGTTTTGATGGGGGAAAATGCTGTATAAAATGTTGATATTGATGTTTGATAGAAAAAGTTGTATAAATGTTGTTATTAAAAATACAAATTCAACAGATGTAGCTTTCTCTACTTCTGTATCTTGATGAAAGAGTTGTTATGCAAAACAGCTGCGAAAATACTTCTCCTCAAGTTAAATAACCAAGACTACTATCAGAGTGAAGAGATACCTTCGTTATTGCAACAGACAGGGAGAGCCAGCTCTATCAGAATCTCTCCAAAGTATAAATACACAAAACATCCCCCTTTAACCCTCAACCTGGCCACCACAGTCCTCCACATTTCCCTCATTGGGTAAGGTACTAGGATGTTACAGTCTTTCTGTCTGCCTACTTCATATCTCCCATCTCATCCCATTACATATATCTACATATATCACATGTGCATTATAATTAGCCCATTGTCTATTCAAGGTGAGTTAATATTCATCAACCTATTAAGCATACTTATAACTACAAGTTCACTAGTTTGCTCCTAACTTCACCTTGCCCTACAACCCCCCCTGTCTCATAAAACTACTGGGAGAATGATATAGGAAGTAGCAAACTTTCTTTCGAGCCAATTATCTTTTTCTCCCCTCCATATTCCTTCAGACAGGCTTCAGGGCTTGGTTGTTTGCCTCACTGTTTCTCAATCACTGAGTTACTTCCTTCACAGTTGTCCACTGTTGAATTTTCCCCTCACGCTTCTTTTAATGGCACTAGAGTCCCACCTACACCTACTATGTTCTTAAAATATGTATATTTCGTATTTGATGAAGCAGGCTATTTGGTCAATGAAAGTTTATGCCAGAATACAGATACAATCCTATGCAGACTTAGATAAAACAAATCCCTACAACTCCCAGCATTCGCCAGCAAACAAGGCTGGCTGGGGAATTCAGGGATTTGTACTTGTTCCGTCTAAATTTTGGATTGTAGCCTCAGTATTTTCTCTGAGGTCAAGTCTCCAAATAAGAAGTGCGGTCCTCAAAGTGTTGTGGAGATTTGTCAGAGTCGCAGGCATCTACGAGCGCTTTTAAGAAATACTTGTTTTCCCTACGCCACCTTTTTTTCCTAGTAGGTGATGGTCATGGGGTCCCGTTTGGCCTTGATCCGCCATTAATCCCCAATAGAAAAAGTACTTTTTTTTTTTTTTTTGCTTCCATAGACTAATACTGCTACCCTCTACATTTTTAAAATTATGTCATTTGTCTCTATGTCTTAGCTTAGAGGGCATAGTTATTTCAAAATATTGGCAGAAAAAGTCTCTAATTAGGCTTGCTTTATGTTTACAGATTAATCCCTATATATTTCGTCCCCGCACATTTAGAATATTCAAGTAATCGCGATCAGAAACCGGAAAGCAACTACAAAGAACCAACGAGACCGTCACCCCATAGTCCTTTCCCGTCTGTCAGAGACCGGCAGCTGCGCAAACGAATATTTTGCCCGGATTTAAGATGGCGGTCGCTTTCCCTCAGTTCCACCCTCCCCACGCCGGCGGAGGCGGGGTTGCGAATACAAGGAGGGGAGCGGGCGCTTTTAAAGCCTCTCGTAGCAGTTGGGGCACTTTTCTGGGTCTCGTCGGAATCCTTCCGAAGCGGGTCTTGAAGCCATGAGCCGCGGTGGAGGTGTGCTAAAGAAGCTCCCAGGAACGCAGGCCTTCCGCCTGCCCGGCCGCCACGGCTACGCAATCGAATTCTCGCCTTACCTGCCTGGGCGTTTGGCCTGTGCTGCCTCGCAGTACTACGGAATTGCAGGTGAAGCGGCGACAGGTGGCGCATGCGTAATGGCGGCGGCGGTAGCAGTAACCGCGGCGTTCAGCTCCCCTATTTCAGTTTCCTTAATCCATTCACTTTGGTTAGAGAATATGTTTTACTAAGGAAACTTTAAGTAAAACGACGACTTCTTTGCATGTTTACACACTTGTTCACTGGGGAAGACTGCATTCCCTTTAGTCACGTTATTTACTTAGAGCATCTTCCACGGATTTCAATGGGGTTTGCCTCCAGATCAGCATAGGATTGTATACTTAGGTTGCATTTTGGCTGCAATTCTGTCACACCTGAGAGTAAATCTCATTGAACTCATTAGGATTTACCTCTAAGTCCATGGGTGGGATCTTATTGTTAATGGGCTTTGCTTCTTGAGTACAAATGCTTAAGATCAGTTTGCAGCTACAGTTCAAACTTCCTCGTGCATTATAAGAAAGTATGTATAATACGCCTACTTTAAAAACGTTTGTCGTGTTAGTCTGTTGCAGAAAAAACGACAGCTTTGTGGCAGCTTAAACACACATTTATTCTGAAATAAACTTTTGCACATACTGCCCCTTTCATAAGATGCATCAAACAACAAGAAAATATGAAGTGGGGCCTGTCTTTTTAAAAGAATCAGTTGTGAAAATGTTTGGATGTTCTTTGTACAGTGTAGACACTATTTACTAAACCACACGTTCAGACCTAAACCATGGCTGAATTTGCTGGAAATCTGACATTTTCACAATTTCAGGATGCTTGTGCTGGTACTTATGTTTTCATGTTCATTTTCTTTGTTAGTGGAAAATAATTTGTATATGCTGACAAAATCTTACCAAGTTCATATTTCTTTAAAAGATCATCCCCCACCACTCCCAACTGTGTAGCCTTTAATAATCTGCTTCCTTTAATTAAGTTTATCAATTTGCAGACATCAAATATTTTTAGAATTGTCACATAAATGTGTGTCTACTGTACTGGCAGAATAGTGAAATCTGCTTCTGAGTAAAATATTCATAGTATTATACATGCTATATAGCAGGGGTGGGCAGACTTACTTAATGGTACAGCCACATACAGTAAATGTCAGATGTTGGAGAGTTGCAAGCAGGCACCTGTGGGTAATGGCAGCGGGCAGCTAGCAACAAGTGAGAACTCATGGTGGTGAATGGCATGCCACACAATAAATTTAAAGAGTTGCATGTTGCTCCTGAGCCTCACTTTGGCCACCCCTACTAAATATAACAAGTATAATTATCATTGGTGTCAATTGTTTTGTCTCAGTATTACCGAGGAGATAGAGATTGGACTCCCTTATCTTGCTTATACCCAACTTCTTTATAGCAAGAATTGGGCACTTGTTATTCCTTTCCTGTAGGAACATGCAGGTGTGTTTTTAAAATTTTATCTGTATAACTGCTTTAGAACACCCTCTCAGTCCCTCTTGCACTAAATCTGGAAAGAATTCAAATAGCAGCATGATTTCTGAGCATAATAGTGCAAAATCACAGTTTTTAAAAAACTATTGATGAAAATGCTAGGAGTTCCATAGAGATCATGCCCATGAACAATTAGGAACTCCTGTACATACATTCCATGCATAAAGCAAGCATGGCCATGATCTTGTATCATTACCATTTGTTTGCGTAGGCCTTGTAAGAGAATGACCTGTTGCGCTGACATGGCTTATCATGAGGCCTCATGGTTATGTAGAATTAAGTTTCTTTATGTTAAGTCCTACAATAAACCAAGTTTATTGTTATACCACTTGATTTATTTAAATTGTGCTTAAGTTCTGTATTCCTTCTGGATTGTGGCATTGTGTGTCTTAGGCTCAAGAGTTATACTTTCCAATTATTTTACTGTTGATCTCTGGTCCCCTTCTTCAGAATCTGACTGCATTTTTACTATGACATGGTTCCACCAACCCAGTATCTAACTCAGAATAGCATTTAGATCCATTAATCTTTGTTGACAGTAAAAGGTTGTAGCTATGGCAGTAGTGGACAACTTGTAGGGCAAAGCAACTGGGTAACCACCAGTTAGCCTTGAAGCTCACTGGGTGAAGATGCTAACTCATTCTCAGTGTAGCCTACTTCACAAGGTTAATTTGAGGATAAAATGGGAGTGATGATTCTGTAAGATAGTTGCCTTGGGGAAAAGACAGAATATAAATATAATTAATAAAAAGTAACAAATAAATGCTCCCATCATCTTTGACCATTGGCATGCTAGCTATTGCTGATGGAAGTTGTAGGCAGGTCCACAAGTTGCTCATTATGTTCTACATAATACTCATTCTGCTTAAAACCATTACTGTGGGGGCAGAAGTGTTTTTAGTATCTGATCCTCAGTTCTACAGTTCTGTTAATCAAGGGATTCATTAAAGCTTGGCACTAAGCAACATATTTTACATATCTTTGGGGAGGGGGCCATAGCCCAGTGGAAGAGCAGATTACTTGTATGTACCAGGACCAATCTCTGATCTCCAGGTAAAAGTATAGGGTAACCTGTATTACCAAAACGTTTCTGAGAATCTAGAGAACCACTGCCAGCCAGAATAGTAGGTACTGTGTTGGACAGAGAATCAATATGATATTAAACTATTTTCTTGCTGTCAAAGAGATGGCTTAGTTTTATTTGCTTGTATTTTAGGTAGTGGAACATTGGTAGTATTGGAACAAAATGAAGCTGGAATTCAACTCTTACGGAGGTAATGTTGTACACTTTATTGACATAAGTGGTTGTCCTATTAATTTGGTATTGTGGAGAGTGTTCTGGGATGCTTTTGTATCGCAAAAGCATCAAATAAAGCTGCACTGGCTAAATTCTTAATAAGTGTGATGAAAACTATAAGAAGAGACTGCAGGGATCCACAATGTCTAGCAAAGATAGTACTGGGATTACCCATTTGGGCTGGAGCCCCAGAGCCTTGGGAAACCATCTGCTTCACCTCCCTGCTATATAAGAACACTTACTGAAAGAAAGTAAAATGAGCACTGATTCTCTTTGTTATACTTGTTCCCTCTGCATTAGCTAGCTTTTTGCTTTTTCCCACATGTACTTCACCTCTTGCTGTCCCCTTGAATCTTTCTGCAGCAATTTTTTCCCTGAAATTTCATCTTTTCCCCGACAATATATTTACAAATAGAAATCTTCTTAGGACTTTTTAAAGGCACACCCCCAACTCTTTAGAACATATACAAATTTGTGCATTTTTTTTGTTTGTTGCCTTGTGGCCCAAATCTTTTTTGTACTTACCAGTACCACTGCTGCCTAGACAACACTTTTGGACTAATACATACATCTTAGGCTACAAGCTTGTAACCATTTTCCTGGAAGTAATCACAGCTAAATGTAATAGGACTTACATATGAGCAGTCATATTGGATAGGAGCCTTAAATTTCATTATTTTAAATCAGGGTTGGGCGAAATGCAGTCCATGAGCCACAGGAAGTCCCTGCCACTCCCCAGCATTGCTCCCCAGAAATACTAATTTGCTACTGCGTAAGTTGTGGAGGTCTCCTGCATAAAAGGATCAGTGGGACTGCCCATACATGGCCAGTCACTGTTAGGTACTGGCCTTTATTGAATGACTTGTACCTATTCATAGTTATAATAGGCTAAAATAAGTAGGTCTCATATGGCCTGAACTTTGACTTTTATTTGCCCTTGTAGATTTCATTTCAAATAACTTCATTTTCAACTTTCATAATTCTAGAGAGGTATTTGAAATATATGATATAAGAAATGTTTCTAAACGTTTAAATTACAGTAGTTTTAAAGAAACAGAATGCTGATAACCCATCATGGTACAAATAACTCCCTGGATTAAGCTGGCTGGCTGGCTGGCTTGTTCCCCTAAGTTACAACACTGTAGGAAGTGTATATAGATTCATAGAATAGTATGGTCAGAAGGGGCCAAGAAGGTAATCAGGTCCAACTTTCTGCTGGTGCAGGATGCCAAGTCACATAATCCCAGTCAGATGACTGTCCAGTTTCACCTTGAATGTCTCTAGTGTGTTAGAGCTCACAAACTGGGCAACTGGTTCCACTGTATTGCTCTGACAGTGAGGAAATTTTCCCTGGTGTCCAGCATGAAACTGGTGTGCTGTAGTTTATTGTTTTGTGTCCTACACTCAGGGTTGAGTGAGGAGAGAGTTTTTCCTTCCTCTTTGTGACAGCCTTTGAGATACTTGTAGAGTGCTATCATATCCCCTCCTAGTCTTCTCTTCTTGAGACTGAACATCATTCTCTCATCATAAGGCTTAGTTTCTGGACCCTGGATCACCTTTGTTGCCCTCCTTTGAACCCTTTCTAGCTTTTCTGCATCTTTTTAAAACCTGGATGCCCAGAACTAAACAAAATATTACAGGTGAGGTGTGACTAATACAGCATGAAGGGAAACTAGTACCTCTCTTGTTCTGGAAGTTATGCTTCTATTTATTCATCTTAAAGTAGCATTTTCCCTTTTTGAGGCTGCATCACATTGCTGACTCATATTTATCTTGTTGTCTATAACAACTCCAAGGTCTTTTTCAGTGCCAAGTATTCCTTATCTTACATCAATGCATTTTTCCCCCCACTAGGTGGAGAACTTGGCATTTGTCCCTGTTGAATTTCATTCTGTTGCTTTCCACCCAGTGCTCTGGTTTGTTTAGGTCACTGTGGACCTTCTTTTTTTTCCAGGGTGTTAGTTCTTCCACCCAGTTTTGAATTGTCTGCAAATTTAATTACTGTTCCCTAGTTTTCCTCATGTAGGTTATTAATAAAGATGGCCCAAAGATTTAGCCTTGTGTTACCCCAGTCATTATCACTCTTTAGCTTGAGAAGGAGCCATTGATGAGCACTCTCTGTGACTGATTTTGTAACCAGTAGTTCTGTTGAGTCCACTTTTTGTAAATTTATCAGGATGTTGTGGGGAACTTTGTTGAATGTTTTGCTAAAGTCTAAATAAATTATGTCCATGGCCTTTCCACTGTCCTTTTGGGAAGTTACTCAGTCAAAAAAATGAGATTAGGTAGGTTTGGCATGACTTACTCTTAAGAAATCTGTGTTGGCTTCTGTTTATCACATTTTCTTCAAGGTGCAGATTGGGTTTTTTAATAATATGCTCCAGTATTTTCCCAGGGATTGATGTTAGACTAACTGTTCTATAGTTCCCTGATTTGTCTTTTTTCCCTTTCTTGTGGATGGGGACAACATCATTTCTTGTTCAGTCATCCAACAGTCCCCATGTTTTACAAGATATCTTGAAGGTTATAGATAGTGGTTCAGAGAGCTCTTCTACCAGTTCCTTTATGACACTAGGATGGAGCTTGTCGGGTCCTGGAGATTTTAACACATTACGCTCATCAAGGTGTTCCTTGACCTTTTGTCTGTTGATCTCAGGCTGCCATTCAACCCTTTTGCCTTGTATTTCCTCGTCTGTACGTAGGTCATATTTTCTCTTGTGGAAGAAGACTGAGCTGAAGTGGGAATGAAGCACTTCTGCTTTTTCCTTGTCATCTGTTATCTTTTCGCTGTCCATGCTGAGTTGTTGAACTTCCCTCGCTCTTGTTTGTCTTTTGTTGTGGACTCAGCTGTAGAACTTAACTCTCTCTCTCTCTCTCTCTCTCTCTCTGTTTTTAGCAAGCCCCTCTCACCTCAGTTCATACCCTGTTTAGCCTTCCTGATCCTTTTCTGTCTGTTTATATTCTTCGTTTGTGGCCTAGTCTTCCTTCCACTTTCTGAACATGTCCTTGTTTGCTTTCAAGTTGTCTCTTAACTTTATGTGGTGTTTTGAAGGCTTCCTCTGTTGTCCTTTACACTTTTTGTTGGAATTAGTTGCTGTTATACTTTGAGACTTTCTTGTTATCAGATTTCCCATCCCTCTTGGACTCCTTTTTCCTTTAGAGTGAGTAGCCTGTGGATTTTACTTAATATTGATCTGAATTTCTTAAAGTTGGCCCTCTTGAAGTCTAGGGTATATGTTTGGCTACAGTTGACTTTTTCCATCTTCATGATTGAGAATTCAAAAATGGCATGGTCACTTTCCCCCAGTGAACCCATGGCTGCTACTCTGTCCACTTGATCTTCTTTGTTGGTAAGTATCAGGTTGACTGTAGCTGTTCTTGTCGTGCTTACCTCCACCTTTGACTGGAGGACGTTATTGGCAACACATATTAGAGGGGCCATGTTTGGCTGAATATGATTCCCGGCATATATTAGAGAAATTGAATTTCACCATGATGACCACGTCATGCCTCCTTAGAAGACTGGCAATTTGTTTTTCGAGAATAACATCCTCAACTTCTCTTTGATTGGGTGGATGGTAAAAGACACCAATGACCTTTTGTTTTTTGCTCTCCTTAATTTGATTCAGATCCTTAGCTGCTCCTCCTGTAATTCATTGTGAGTATACTTTTTTTAATGAATAGTGGAACTCTGTTCATTAAAAATAGAGTTCCACTATTTAATGGAATAGAGGAATAGTGGAATATTCCACTATTTAGTGGAACAGAGTTCCTATTTAATGAATAGTGAAACTCTAGTTCCTATTTTGTTCCTTCTGTTTCTCTTGAAGAGGTTGTATCCATTGATTTTTGAATTTGTTTCATGTAAGTCATCCCTCCAAGTTTAGTTACTGCGATGAGGTCATTGTTGCCCTTGTCTACTTGGAGCTCATGTTCATGTTGTTTACTCCTGACATTGGTGTACAGTTCACTTCACAGGTTTCCTTCTTGTGTTTTTTGGAATACTGTTATTAGTCACAATTTGAGGTTCCCCCCACTCCCACCTTACTGTGGTCCAGATGACACAACAATCCACCATGACTACTTACAAAGTAGGAAAATAAGTCAAGCATTAGGCTTATACAATACTGGACAATGACTGTTGTTTGAGCTCTTGAGAAATATATCTGGTCTTTTATCAAGGATTGAAAATAATGAATTTCCAACCATTGTTTCCTCAAGAAAGTTTGCAAATAAGAGTTTTCACATGGAAAGTTCTTGAAGCAGCTTTTCAAGATAAAGAAGTATTTTTAAAAATACAAAACATGTAATAAACACTACATCTTCAGGTAGCCAAGTTATTTATCTTTTTTTTTTAAAAAAGGGAAAAAAGTCTCGCCCTTTGTAAAAGTGGTATATATGGGAGTTTCCCATCTTCTCCTCATATTATCCCAGTGAATTATTTTAATGTGTTTTTGTGATTGGCCATGAAGTTTAGTAAAGCTTTATGGCTGACCTAGAATTTCAGTCTAGATCTTTCACCCACCCACAATCATTTTCTTCGATAGCACTATACCAGTATCTTTCCAGCACCTCCCCTCAAAAAATTAAACTGAAATCTCGTCGATTTAAATGATGATCAATAAATTAATATGCTTCAATTTATCTTGTATTAATACACTGTTTGCTTTTGGTTTAGTTTTGATTGGAATGATGGCTTGTTCGATGTGACGTGGAGTGAGAACAATGAACACATGTTGGTTACATCCAGCGGGGATGGATCTTTACAAATCTGGGACACAGCAAAACCCACCGGCCCACTGAAGATTTATAAAGAACACACTCAGGAGGTATCATAAACATTGCCCCATTTTTTTTCTTCATCAAATAGTATTTTCAGAAATCCTTAAGCTTGCATCCTAAATTTAATAATCATAAGCATGAACTTTATTGATAGTCTTCTGTATCCACCACTTTTCCTATTATTCAAAGTGTTACAGTAATCATAAAAAAGTTTTTGTGCTCTCTAAACTCTTAACTCTGCTATAAGAGTTTTTTCACCTCCTCTGGAATACAGCAGCCATGAGATTGTGGTGCTCCTATATCATAAGAACTGCCTTGTAAAATGAGTTCTTACTTCATGGCTCTTGTAAAGATAGCTAACATCTTTCCGCAGACTTTGCAGCTATATGGCTTTCACAGAAGTACAATGATTCATAATGTTCTGTTAGCCCACTAATGTCTAAAATATTGCTCAAGAATTATTGTCACTAATTTCTGCAGAGGATAGTATTGATCATATAATTTATTTACCCAGTAGAAAGGAATTACTAACTGCTAGCTATCAGAGATTAGGAAGAAATGTGCTGCCTTGGGAAGACTTCTTCATAAATTCTTCCTGAGTCACAAATTTGTCTTCTTCCTTTAGAAATATCTGAATCTGGTGATTGCTCGGGGCAGTTGAATAGAATAAAATATGGGCTGTTGCAGCCTTTGTGCAGACATCTTATTGATGATGTATACTTTTTTTTAAAAAAAGGAAAGACAATCCATCAAGATTTAGTCTTACATTTTACAGTCCAATGAGATTCTTTTCTATGCAGCGACAGCAGTATTTGGTGTTTGATTGCAGAACAAGAAGGTGCGTCCTTCCCGTTTGCAATAGGGCTGCATGCAGCTCCACCTCCTTTTCTAGGCCAGCAGCAGCCACTGGAACTGCTGCATCTTTGTTTCGGGGTAACCGTCTTGCACAGATGTCATGGAATTGGTTTCAGGGGAAGGGCACCTGGAGTTGTCCCACTGGCATCCCCATTGGCTTTGGAGCACAAGCAGAATGTTTCAACAGCAAGATACGGTCACTAGGGCACACTCCTATGTATGTTTAGACAGGAAAAATGACCTACCTCACCTCCCAATCTCTAGCCAGCGTGTCTGGGAGTTGTAGGTCTTTTTTCTGTATACCCTTAAAATTTTAAGGAATCAAATAGATTGACAGAGATTGGATGCCCCATTGTTGTGGCACAGCTGTTAAAATGCTAGTGCAGGCTGAAACAGTCGGGTAGCAATGGGAGTGTTCCCTGTTAAGACTGTGTGTGTATGACAGAAGACAAAAATGCTATTATGGGAAGGCATACGAAGCTGCATTCATTCTTATACCTGTTCAGCTGTCTTAGGCTGAAATCCAGTGCTGTGCAAGCAGAGGTCTGCTGGTGTAATGGCGCTTTCCCTTGCTCTCCTCTCACCTGCAGGCTTACAGATCTGTTCTGGAGGGTCCCTCGACCCTCTGGAGCAGACTTGGAGGAACTGCAATGGGGAGTGGAAACAACTCTGTCAGCAGTTTCTTTTATGCTGGTATACAGTCAGGGGTTGAACACCACCTATGCCTTTTGCCAAAGACTCCTGGAAATTATAGTTAGGGAAAGTACTGAGATTTCTGGTGCCCATATTAGAACTCTAGAAAATAAACAACTTAAGTCTTAGCATAAAAGGAACTTGGAATTAGCTGAAACTTGCTTATTTCTGCAAACAAGGACACAAATGTTGGCTCATTCACTAGCTTGCCATAATTTGTGCTCACTGCTAATTTCATTCCTCCTCACTTTTATCTTTTACGTGGGGTATGGAGTATCTCTTATCCGATGTTGAGCTCTTAACCAGGCAGAAGTGTGCGAACTCATCTACCCACTCCAAAGCTCAGTGTGATGAAAAGCACTAGAAGACAACAGCTGCTTCACAGCTCAGCATAATAAGCAGTTCCCTCTCCCCTCCCAGACAGTAAAATAACAACAGATAAAAGGACTGAATCATATCCAAAACTCAACGAAATATGAAGTCTGTTTGTTTCCTTCTCTCTAGTTTGTGAGAGGTTTTTTTTAACAATAAAAAAGTCCCCTTATTATTAAAGATGAAAAAGGAGCAAAACTGAACATTACTATTTTTGACTAAAATGTAAAACGATCTATAGCACTGATTACATATGTATTATATATCCCTATATGTTAGTTTATAAAAGAACATACTATTGTTATTAAAATTAATTATATGTAGACCTCAGTAAAGGAATCTCAAGTAGCCATACATTTATCCATTTGTAGATTACACATAAAGGCTACCCTTTCAAAAATTTGTTGGTTAAGGTTTCTTGTGTCATGATTTCTAGAGGCCCGTTTATTAACATGTTAAGACACAGTCCCTGCTGTGAAGGTGATACTATCTTATAATTTGTTACTGATCTTCGGGGAGAGGCCCACTAACTGAGGCAAAACATAATCAGCCATGTATTGGCAGACTCAGAGGGTTCCCAAGGTTTTCAGAAGACCACAAAAAAATTAACCTCCTCTCCCCATGGAGATGGCATATATTCTCTGGATACAGAATATTGTTGCTAAGCAAGGGACAGAAATAGGAATGGGGAAATTAGTTGGAAAAGGAAGGCAGTACATAGATATAAAGAGAAACCTCAGGTAAACGTGTAATACCTGAAATATCTGGATAGAATACTTCTTGGTTTATAAGTGAAAAACTATTTTTAAATTTCCCAACAGATAGACGTGTGAGTGACCAAGAGAAACATATGGTAAAACTCAAGATTTTAGTATAGCTGGGACACGTGTGTCTTCCACTCATTCTTATGTGTACCCAAACTCAAAATGACAAACCTTCCCTAAATCATTAAATGAAAAGAATCCCAATAACAGCCTGAGGGAAACTGAGAACACCCGGTGGGATTGCCATGCAGTTTGGATGTTGGTGCAGAACAGTGGAAGAGAGGCGTGGAGTGGCTGGATCCTTGAACAGAAACACACTGTGCTGCAACATTTTATTGCTGGGCCCCATTTGCTTTTGTATAATGAAAACTGATCATTTTGATCATAGTTTAGGATAATATTTGCCAGATAATATTTCAAGATAATATTTCTTGATTAGAAAACAAAAGAACTGAATGTATTAAACGTGTTAAAAGCATTTGTTTATTTAAATCATCTTTTTCCTTGTTCTTCAGTCCAAAGCGCACTTAGAATAGCTTTCGGATATCACTAGGGAGACAGTTACTGCCCTAATGTTTTCAGTCTGCCACAGTCATTTGTACAGTTCATTTAAACATGCAACAAAAATTCCCGATTGGAAAATGGATATAATAACCTTTTAGTAAACATTGGCAAGTGATGCAATTGGAAAAAAAAGTATTTAGTGTTCAGTCCACCTCTGATTAATGCTCTCGTTAATGCTCATAGTATTTCTGAAACAGTTGTGTGGAATTGAGAGTGTTCTACTTTGCTGTTATATCCTAATGGTCCCAGCCAACCTTAACTTTAATGGTTCTTTGAACAATAAAATGTGATAGAGTGTTACTTCACAGCATGAGGCCATGAATATTATATTTGTTTCTAGAGATTCTTTTATCTTGTCCTTGGATGACCTGTGCCTATACATACAAATATTAACATTAAAGGCAAACTTAAGGTAATCACTTGCCTGGTTGTCTGCATTGTATTTATGCTTCTTCACAAAGTAGAGCAGCGCCAGAGCCAGCTGGTACAAATGAACTTAAAGTTTGTCTCAGTGTTTTTAAAAATGTTTGTGAGGTGGCTTCATGCTCATAATGAGGGGGGGGGGAGCAAGAGAGTATCACTGCAAACCCCTCAAGAATAGCACTTGGCAAACACTTCTTAAGAAGGTACCACAAGCTGCCAGTGTACTGTGAGTAAATATAAAGAGCCCTCCAAATACCTCATGTGTCCAAGGTGAATGTTTAATTGCTTGAATTTGGATATACTGATGTTAAGATGCAAAATTAATATTTTTCAGTCTAGTTAATTGGTAAAATAACTTGTTGACCTGACAGGAAACTAGCCATACCATCCTGAGGAATAACACACTCATGGTTTTTCAGCAGCCTTCCAAGAACAGTGCATTAAAGAGGTTGGCAATTCTGGTATTAGAATTGGAATCATTTGGGGGCTTGTTGCAACCTTTTGGGTGAGATCAGAAGTACACCTTTGGCTTGTGCACTTCTTCTCTTCTGAATAGGGAGAGATGACCATCAGTATTGGGAGATTCAATAGTTACTTGAATTGATAATCCAAATGCTATGAACAAGATACAATATTCTGTATTCAGCTATGTGTGCAATCTCCCTGGTCTGGACATTGCCTTCTGTGTGGAATGAAGGGAGAATGGGAGTGTTGAATGGGAAGTGTATGAACCTAAATATAGCTGGGAAGAGAACAGTGAACATTATCTGGACAGGTGTTTAGAAAGGCACAGGCTCAGGAGATAGCTGTAAAGGGCAACAGAAATAGATCCACTTATGTGGTGCACCAGTGCATGAAGAGCACTTGAAAACAAACCATCAAGAGCTCATTTCAGCCTTCTTGTTAGGACAAGAAACCTAAAGCCCAAGCTATAAATGCAAAATATAACAGCTTCCCATTTCATGTGTCATGCTGTGTAGTTAAATAGATCAGGTATACCCTGAAACTTTATGAACTGGCAACTGCTGTTGTATCATGGCGTTTGAATATTTCAAACCATTTAATTCTCAGGGTTAAAGGAGAATAAACTTTGGGATGAGGGGTGATTGTGCACTTCCAAATTTTGTAAAGTGTTTACATTTTCAATCCCTTAATACCAAATATTCCCATTTGAAATAAAGAAATATTCTAAATACAACAGATAGGGGACAAGGTAACTAAAATGCATTTAATCTTTACAGGTTTACAGTGTTGACTGGAGCCAGACTAGGGGAGAACAGCTAATAGTATCTGGGTCATGGGATCAAACTGCAAAGCTGGTATGTTTCTACTTCTGGTTATCTAAATTGTGTATCAATTTAACATTCAGAATGGAGATCCTCTCAAGCTGTGTTTTTCTATTTGTTCTTTGTTTGAACAGATGCTGCTTTGTTCTCTTTTTTCTCTTTTTTTATTTGTCAAAACTGAGTGTATTAAAATGCAGGATTCAGTTAGTTCTTGCAAGTGTAATGTGCAATGAAATCATTCAGCATCTGGAAGACTTTGCCAGATGTGGTTCTCTATTTAGTAGATAATAATTTGGTTAAAAACTTTTGGATTTTGTTTAAATTGCTCAAATTTAAAGAAGAAAATAAATGTGAATATATTACTGAGTGAAGCAGAATTCCTGGGAAGCAAGAGGTTCAGGAATGCATGAAACCTAACATTCCTACAGGTGCTAAACTAAGGAGTCCTGGCACTATATGGGAAGAGCTGAAAAATAGGAGAACCTTCACTGCTGTTATAGAAGGGATTTTAGGACTGGTCTGGGTGTGCAGCAGAATGAGGTAGGAGAAGCCTGACATGATGGAATAGATTATTCCCCTCAGCTATAGGGATGCCACTTTTGAATGTAAAAAGTGAACACACCTTATAGAAAGGTTCTAGCCCAGCTTGCTCCTTGCTATGCTAATTTTCTACATGGGAGACGGGGCTTTTTACCGGGAAGCATTCAGGAACGTGGTTCCTTACATGTCATCTGGAGTGGTTTAGTCTGTTTTATTGCTCTTATCTCCTTCCCGCGCTCTATATGTAAACCAGGCTTTAGAAGAGACATGTTAAAACATAACAAGTTGCTTAAATTAAAAAGTCTGGTTTTCTTAGGGTTCATTATATTAAATGCCAGGCCTAACATTCTTCCACTGCTTCACTGACAGAGGAATCCTAGTGGTTAGCTTTAGCTGCAAGAGAGGTAGTGGGATAGACTGCAGTGGCACACCAGCTGTTCCTTGTGTGAATTTTGAAATCTTCCATGCCTACAGGCAGAGAAGGCTTGAGGGGTCACATTTCACAGACAAGAAGCATTGCAGAGGTCTTTATCCACTCTGTATTCCCTTACACCTGATTTCCTCTGCAAGTTGTAAATGCTGGAGGAACTCTGGCTATTTCTTTTGTAAAGAAACTGAACTAAGCACAGGTAGGTAATTCCTAATGGCTTTCTTATTAGGGCTGGGAATAGAATGGTATCCCACACAAAGTACAGCCAGCTAAGTGTGTGAGAGTTGCTTATTTCAAGAAAGTCCATCCCTGTTCTCTTTCCTCCAGATGGAATAGGTGCAAGTTCCAAGCTGTGATATATCCCAATTTAAAAAGTTCTAGTCAGAAATAAACCCAGAAATTTAAAGCCCGCTGTGATAAGTATCAGAATGATATTTTTTGCAGCACACAGTGGGTACAGTAGTACCGAAACTGACCTCCAAAATAATGATACAGGAATATTCAAATACTCAGGTCAGAATGTAGAATACTTCACCCAGCAGGTTTGAAAAATGGCAAATCCTCAGATATATAAAAATCTCACAGGTGCTCATTTTTAGCACATTTCAGATTCACATTCCTACACTGAGAAATTGTTTCAATGGAAGACAACACCTTTTTGATTTATTTACAGGGAGTAAAGTGACACCAACTGTCTATGGTGTTTTGTTTTGATTTGTTTTGGGTTTGTTTGTTTATGAAACAAGGGTCCCTGTTCTGAAAAAGACATTTTTCTATCTTCAAACTGGCTCAATATTTTAAAATAATCCAAAGATATTAAAACAAATATGAAGCTTGATCTATACATCTTTACTCAAAAGTAAGCTCCAATTATTTGAATGGGAATTTCCAAGTAAATTATTGGCTAGGTTTGTAGCCTAAGGTTTGAAGAGGTCCATGACTGACAAGAACTGAGTTTAAGAACAGAAGCTAAGCTTTAATGAAACAAAAATTTCTTTGCTTTTTTATTATTCATTCACTACATTTCTGTCCTACTCATAGGCAAAGCTCTCTGGACAGTTCACAACATTAAGGCACCCATCAGAATATTCTGTCCTGTGTATTAAACTCATATGACATGTATAGTAAAAGGGGTACATAAGCTCACTTGAGTGACTCAAATTTAATCTATTGCTTCTAACCATTAGAGCATACAAGCAGCTGTTTATTTGTTTACATTTTATCTAGTGGGATCCTGCAGTGGGACAGTCAGTATGCACTTTTAAAGGCCATGAAGGTGTCATTTATAGTACAATATGGTCTCCTCACATCCCAAGCTGCTTTGCATCTGCCTCAGGTAAGTATTACAGTGTAGTGGCACTCCAAAGGGGGATCTTTCCAGTATATTTTATTGTTTTAAAGGTTTGTCCAGCAGGTGGTGGTATAAATGTACACAAATAGACGATAGAGATGATAGATGTATAGCTATAATTGAAGTGGAGGTTTGGTTGTTATCTTTTAACACCACTGACTTGGTCTCTACATGGATCAGCAATTTTCTCACTTGAGTAAGTCGGTGGCAATTTTTCACATTGACATTTCATTGTGGGTTTTTCTCTCTCTCTCTCTCTCTCTCTCTCTCTCTCTCTCTCTCTCTCTCTCTCATCTTGCTTGTCAGCCTGTATAACAGTGCAAGTGTTTAGTTATAAATATTGGCTTTATGTCTTTTATCTGATAGTTGCACATCCATGTGAGCAAAGTGCAGCTTACACCAAACAACTCCTTTGAATATGCATTATTATATATTGCAGCATGTGGTTCTTGGGGATGGAAAATCAACTGTTATGTTAATTCAGCTCCTGTGTCTTTTTTGTATATTACGGTGACTGGGTTGGGGATGGTTTTTTCCCATGACTGAATCACTTTGGGTTTAGTGAAAAACTTTGGAGTGATCCAACAAGGGATTTGGGGCTACAGTACAAAACTTCACTCAGCAAAGTTTTGCTTTATTTTAAGAAGACTCGTTAAATCACTGTGTTAAAGTGTTTAAAGTAGGTTGGCCATGCTGTTTCACCATATTTTTCTTATACTTTTGTAGCATGGTGACTCTTGAACCTGTATTATTACTGTATTATTATTGTGCATTGCTTTATCTGCATTATCTTGTTGTACTCATTGAAAGGACTTTGAGAAATACTATCTTTATAATGCAGAGAAAAGTGGGTAGGCTGAAACCAAACTTGGTGAAGTGTGGCTTGTTCTAACCAGAGTAAGTTACCAAATGAGACTAACAAACCACATTTTTATCTGGGTATATTTTGTTTAAATTTCCTTTGGTTAGGACAACTTACAGTTCCCTGAGTTAGTATGTAACATGGAACTGAAAGTGGACTTTTTATTATCTTTTTTCTTGGAGAGAAGGAAAAAGGGAGAGAGGGGTAGCAAGCAGACCCAAGGCTGAGCTGACCTTTATTACTTTCCAGTTCCTTAATAGGAATGTTAAATATTTTTAACATTGAAAAAATAAGCATAAATCAAAGATGTATTAACAGATTGTTTGCATGCATGCTTTGTTTTGTAAGTTCAGCATAATGAATCTGTTTGATTAGTAGCAGCATGATCATTTCTCTTCTTTGCACCAAATGGATAGGTCAGCTGGGGTTTTCTTCAAGTGTAATAGCATTTAACACTTTGGAATAATACATCTTTTTGTTCCTTAGCATACTTATTTGGAAGTGAATCTCACTGAACTTAATCAAAAAGGATAAAGAAACATCTTTTGGCCTCAGCCATACACAACCCAACTTGTTGTATACCTGCTTGAACTGCAAGCAAAATACATCATGTTCTGTTCTTGGATTTGTCTCCCCACCAGACTTTGCCGATGTAAAACAGTACATAGATCAATGCCTTTTCACAAGAAATGCTGGTTTGAAAACTGTAGAAATTTGACTAGTGAAATTGATACAGTCAAGTAAATTTCTTGTTCCTTTTGACTGGCCCTTTTGCAATATTTAAGGTAGTTTCTCAGTCTTTTTGATTAATGAAACACCTTACAGAAAGAACACGATTCAGCACATAAAGGCAGAACATTGACATCTCATGGGCAATGTTTTTATTATATTTTGTACTCTCCTCAACTTGATATTCCAGGCCAGTAGTTGCTTAAAGAAGATGGCTTTAAGCTTTGCTAACCTTAAAAAAAACCCAAAAACCTCTTCAGGGTTTTTCTTTTTTTGTTTTTGTTTTTTTGGGCCATGCTATGTGATACAGAGTTTTAGGGATTAGGCTGCTATCATTATAGCTGCATTCATTGTACACCATATATTTAATATACATTATATTGTGTCCTAGCACATTGGTCTGTTTAGGAGGCAAATTCCAGGAGAGATGCATGCTTGTTCAGTAGCATGAACAGTTTCAAACAGTGATTTATCATTTTTACCTGCTGTTGGTGCTCATCAGTTTGGCTAATATTTGGGACGGACTTTCATTTTAAGAACAGATGTCCTAGATCAGAACATTGGGGCATGTAACTGGAAATGTACTTGGTCACTGAAGCTGACAGTGGCTGGGATCCAAAGAACTACCTAAGGCATGCATAGGGTGTTTTTCTTTTAGTGCAAGTGGCAATCCCTCGATTCATATTTTTCTAAACTTCCATTAGTTTCCAAATGACTGTGCCATGGAGACACTGTGATTGTTACACATCTACCCAAAGCTTGGATCTAATCATACTGGTCTTGAGATCCCAGTCTGTAGTTAATAATAGTTCAAAATCAATACATTCTGTCTTTGCAGTATAGATAAACCTTCATAATATACATAAATTATGCAAGTTATACAAAGTTATTCCTTTTGTATATAACATATTTCATTTCTGTCAGTGGTAGAAAAAGTTGAATTATCTGATACATTCCACAGTTTAGGGACAACCACTGAAGAGGTCCTTTGGGTAGTTGACATTAATCACGAGGAAGGAATCTTCAGGAAATCATCCCCAGAAAATTGTAGTAAGCACAGCAAAATATATGGGCAAAAACACCCCTGAAGGTATTTTGGATCTGAGCCATGAAGGGCTTTAGAGGTAATTGCAACATCTTGTACTGTATTTGGAAAAGTATTGGCAACCAGTGAAGAGATGTTAATATAGATGAAATATGGTCTCTTCAGGATGTCCCAGAGACCAAGCTGGCTGCCATATTTTGTACTAGTTGAAGTTTCCAGAGTAGGTACAAGGGTTGTCCTATGTTGAGCGCATTGCAGAAATTGAGCCTAAAAGTTATCAACCCATGTGTTACTCTTTTCAGGTCATTTATAGTATATAAATATAATAAATGAATCTCCTCCAGGAAGGGACGCAGTTGGCAAATCAGGCAAAGCTGACAGCAGAAAATCTTAAATAGAGCCTCTATCTATGCTGACATCTGAAGGGCTAGGTCAAACAGTGCCCCCAGACTGTGAACACAGTCTTTGAGCCAGAGTGTGATCCTGTGTGGAACTGGTTGACAGACTTCTAACTCTGTATTTGAACCTTTAATGGCAAGTACCTCCTTTTGTCTGGATTCAGGTTATGAGGGGAAGTACTGCAATGTAGTATTGCCCACATCCAAACCAAACAATCTCTCCACAAGCATAGATGATCATATGCAACTGGTCATATTTCCTTGTCTTCCTTCCAAAAAGCCTGTCCCACAGGGTGACCGAGGTGATTTCTGTGCTTGACCTGACTAAAATGGTTTCAAAAGGTCAGAGGTGCCCAAGGGCACCTAAGCCTGGGAAGGGGCATTTGCCACTGGTCTATAAATATTAATATCCTTTGATTCCAAAAGAAAGTGACTTTAGGAATAGTTGCACTTGTGCCTCTTTTGGGAATGCTGGAACCATTCCCTATAGCAATTAACAATCTCGCTGATTATGGAATTGATGTCTTAATTTCTTATTTCCTGATTGTTACTCAGAAATAACTTCTGTGATAGATATCTTCATGGCCTTTTCTATGCTTTGTAGAGGGGGAGAAGGATGCACAAAAGAAAATACGTGCAAATACATTTAAGTTGCATTATTTATTTGTATTAAAATGTTTCAAGCACAGAATATACTGTTTTGAACAATTGTTAACTGTTGGGTAGGAACAGATCTGTAGCCAGCCTTAAGTGTTTTGTGGGGGCCAACAAAATATAGGGAGAGGCAGCTTATCTGGCCTGCAGGATTTTGAACAAAATAACTCTTTATATAAGCAGTGTTTGAAGCCATACTGCAATTTATGTACATTCAGAATTTTTCACTAAGCAACTTCAACAGTTTGTTAACAGTTCCTGCCACCAGTTAACAAAAAGAAGGAAAGAAAGGGAACAACCCACTTGTAGAATCATGAATAAGCTACACCAAGAATATTCTTATAATAGAATCCTAGAATTAGAAGCTGTCTTTATGTAGCTTAAGGTTGTTATTTCATGTCCTACAGTCCTGGCTGACAGAGAACGGGTTGTAGCCCCCTTTTGCCTGACAGTCCTTTAGGCAGTTGTAAGGTGCTATACTCACTCTTTTCTTTTCAAGCTAAACATACCCAGGTCCTTCAACCTTCTCCTGACGAATCAAGTTTCTCATCCTGATCCTCTTTCATACCCTTCTCTGAACTAAATGGATTCCCTTTATTTTGGAACTGCCAAGTCTTCTAACCAGTGGTGTGTTCAAGTCCTTTACTCCAAATCTTGAGTCAAGTCTCAAGTCCTTGCTTTCAAGTCCAAGTCAAGTCTCAAGTCATTGCATGAAATTTTTGAGTCAAGTCGCAAGAGCCAACAGAAAAAGAGATGTGGTGGTGCGAGTAGGAGAGTTGTTTGTCCCTCCTTGGAAATATGTGGGAACAGGGCAGAGGCAGCATACAGGAGAAATGCTGTTGTGCTTCCTGCCGAGGAAAGCTAAGTGCCTCCAAAAGAGCCAAAGCCTCCACCCTATGTTGCAATCCCTCCTCTGCCTTATCCCTTTGTCCATCCACTCCACTGCCTCCCTTGTGTTAAAAAAAAAAAAAAGCTGAAGCCTTCCTTTCCCCCTATTGCAACCCCCTCCTCCCTTTCCTGCCCTTACTGCCTTGAAACTCCCTTCTTCCCACTGTCTCTGCCACATTTATGTCTGCCTTCAAACCCATCTCTGAAGCCTTCTGCTTCAGGATATCTTGAAGATATCTTGAAGATATCACCCCAGGATATCTTGCTGTGTGTTGGATGCAGATGTGAAGCCCTAGAGCTATTTGGTCATAAAAACAGTTGCTTCCGAGACAAGTCCTAGTCAAGTTGCTGATGCAACTTGAATTAGACTTGGGAGCAAATCACTTAGTTCAAGTCCACAACACTGCTT